GTCTGAAATGGTCTTCTTTGACCCAGTAAGTGTTTTTTCCCTTCATCCTGAAACTTTTTGCTGTTTATCAAATAACTTTGAGCCCCGGTCAGAAAAAAGACTGGAGGGTTTTATATTTCTGGCCCGAGAGGAGGAAACAAATGATGGGCTGAGATTTTTTTGTTTTGTTTTGTTTTGTTTTGTTGTTTCCCCACAGGATGTGTTTCCTCGTCGCGGCGCAGCTCGCATCAAATCAGCCCATCTTTAAAAAAATAAAATGTGTCATAAATACTTCTTATCATAACTTCAGATCTACTTAGCCTAACAACACAATTTAAAAACTGGTTTAAAGTTCAAAGTCTCTACTTTTCAGAGAGAGGGCGGATCTTTACAGGTAGATTTTTTTCCTTCCTAAACTTTATTTAGGTCAGCCAGAATTGACAACGCTCTGCGGGTGATGTAAACGGCTCTTCGACAAGGAGAGAGACATAAATTGCTCAACACAACGAATCAATAATGAAATTTGTTGCCAACAATTTTAATAATCGATTTTATCAATTTATTGTTGCAGCCCTACAACCCCTCAGCCGTTGTTTCCTGCTCCAAATAAAAGGAGAGGAAACAGAACCTGGTGTCAGCAGCACCTGAACCACTGCTCTTTGTTTCCTCCCCACAGGAGCTGAGCGAGAACCAGTCCACTCCGAAGAGGGAGAAGCAGGAGTGGTTGATCCGTCAGAAGGAGTGTCTGCAGCAGATGCAGGCAGAGGAGGAGGCCAGCCTGCTGAGGAGGCAGAGGCAGTACTACGAGCTGCAGTGTCGTCAGTACAAGAGGAAGATGCTGCTGGCTCACCACAACCTGGAGCAGGACCTGCTCCGAGAGGTAGGCTCCAAAGCCCCTGAAGGTCTCCTGATCTCTAGCTGTTCTCCTCAGGCTTCATGTCGGCACTGTTTGATGACATGGTCTCCTTCCTGTCAGGAGCTGAATAAGAAGCAGACTCAGAAGGACCTGGAGTGCGCCATGTTGCTGCGGCACCACGAGTCCACCCAGGAGCTGGAGTTCAGACAGCTGAGCATAGTGCAGAGAACCCGGGCTGAACTGATCCGGACTCAGCACCAGACAGAACTCACCAACCAGATGGAGTACAACAAGCGGCGCGAGCAGGAGCTCAGACAGAAACACACCGTGGAGGTCCGCCAGCAGCCCAAGAGTCTGAAGGTGAGGAACCTCCCAGAACCCGAGCCGGATCTGCAGGAGGTTCTGATTCTGGACTGAAACTAACCGTCTCACATCAAATATTAATTCATCTTTGGTGATTTTTCCTTAATGTTTTAGTCCAAAGAGCTGCTGATCAAACGGCAGTTCCAGGAAACCTGCAAGATCCAGACCCGTCAGTACAAAGCTCTGCGGAACCACCTGCTGGAGAACACACCAAAGTCAGACCACAAGACCGTTCTCAAACGCCTCAAAGATGAGCAGACACGGAAACTAGCCATCCTGGCTGAGCAGTACGACCATTCCATCAATGACATGCTGTCCACACAGGCTGTGAGCAAGGTGAGCACACGCTAACATGCTGACATCACGCCAACAACATGCTGACAACATGCTGACATCACGCCAACAACATGCTGACATCACGCCAACAACATGCTGACAACATGCTGACAACATGCTGACATCACAACAACAACATGCTGACATCACAACAACAACATGCTGACATCACAACAACAACATGCTGACATCACGCCAACAACATGCTGACAACATGCT